TTTTTTGACAGCTATCGAGAACCGAGAAGTCACGCGTACGCACTGAAAATAGCCTCTGTTCTCCGCCCCTGAGCGCGGGCTCTACGCGCGCTGTAATTGGCCAGTGTTTTTCGTTAATAATTCAAAAATGAAGCTTCAAACTGGATTTTGGAAAAGGAAAAAGTTGTTCAGAGTCACTCCAGCAACCCTCCATTCCCGGGTGTTCGAGGAGTTACGGGACACCCTGTATGTAAGTGCAGAAATATGAATTTAAAAATGTATAGATGACTACTTACTATGTTCTTGATGTAATTGAATATTTTCTTTATCTTTCGTAAAACTAAATAGAAAACCTAATTTTTCATCTTTGTAAGTGATAAAGCTGTGATAAGCTGGTACAGCACGACGAGTGAAGAATTTTTACCGGTGTAAGTTTTGCTCTGCTTCGTGTTATTGCAAAATTGTATTCAAAAATTTGCAAAATTTGAAAGAAATTGTTTTGTACATACTCCACTCCATTCTACATACGCGTGAATCGTTGAAATCAAAATTTTCAGATCTGGTGACTTTCCTTTATACGGGCAACAATATTCACTTTACGACCAAGCAGTTCGTCTTGTGATTACTCGTAACAATGTTTGTCCGAGCGAAATTGTTCTGTATAGTTCTGCGTCTGTATGGACAGCAAATCAGCCTTTACGCTCTATTCCAATTAGTATGTTTCATATGATGATGTTTTACGACAGAGAAACAAAATGTTACTGTGCAAATGAGACCACACATGCGTATAAAATTTTTCTCTTAAAATCTCCGATACTTTGACCTTCCGCAGTATTAACACGTTACAGGATATTTGATTACATGTGCTTTGGAAATTTATGCCGGTTAGATTAAATTCGAACCAAAAACTGCTCGTGCTTCTTGCAAACAATCAATCGTAGGACACCCGATAGCTACGCGACTTTGTGTCAATATCCATTGCTGTATGTTTCGATTACGTATCCTCACAGGCACTTTCAATGACCACATGCAGGCTAACAATAAGTCCTGTCATAAATCGTTCGAAAGCAAAATAACATCAGGCTATCTGCCTTCGACGACTCTTAAAAATACGCTGACACTGAGATATACATACTATGAAAAGTATAATATAATCATTGTAATATAATTTATTGTAAAAGTAAACATTTAATAAGTACAATAAGACTATTAGTCATACACAGGGTGTTCGGTAACTATTGATAGAAAATTTAAAGAGTGGTTCTACAAGTCAAAATAAGACGAAAATCAAGAATAACAAAATTGCATTTGAAGCTTCGCGTTTTAGTTATTAATATTTGAAAATATCCCCGTTGTCGAGCAACCCTCTTTACACCAGTGAATGTAGAGCACGTCAAGACACGAAGGGTACAGTGATCCTCAAAATTAACGACACATGGCCAGCAGATTGGCTCGTAAAATTTGTAGAGAAGAAGACAGTGATATTCGACACCGTAAACATTACCAACTTCTGTGGGAATACCATTTCCATGGATCCACCCCACAGGTGTATGTTAGAAAGTTCTTCAAATGTGTATTCCACTGTATGTAATATAACGAAGACAACGAACACTATGCACACAAATAACTGAAAAATAATCACGTAAGGGTGGATAACGTAATTTGATCACCTTAAGACCGATACAAATTCTTTTGTTTTTAAATATCTTAATTTAGAGAGGCCTACAGTCTGATTGCAATGTATGTTTCACAAACCAAGGTATTAAAAAAAAAAAGAACTTGTATTGGTTCAGTAGTAACGGATACACAGATTAAGTTGCATTGTCCACCCGGTATACATACGCGCACGCACGAAATGAAGAGTAAAAAACTAAAGAAAAATAAATTAAACTTCTATTAAAAGTACACTAATACATAATAAATAAAATTTAAATGATCATACTAAGCTAAAACTAATTAACTTATTATTTTATAATTATAAAGTATTTTATAATTCACTAATACGTAATAAATTAAATTTAAATGATCATACTAAGCTAAAACTAATTAACTTATTATTTTATAATTATAAAGTATTTTATAACGAAATAAATGCTGTGTTTCCTTATCACGTCTTGTAGCTCTTTCGCTTTCTTTGTCGAAATGATTCTGTCTTTCCAAAGCTTTCATCGTTAACCTTCCAATCTTTTTTAGATACATTTGGTAAACACTGTGTACACTTTCTTCATTGCTATACATGTGTTGTACGCATAGTGTATATTGTGTTTGTTATATTACATAAGTGAAATACACATTTGTATTCAAATGTCACTGTCTTCTCCTCTACGTCTCTTACGAGGTAAGCTACCGACCATTTATCGTTGGCTTTAAGGATCACTGTACCCCCTGTGTCTTGATGTGCCCTACCTTCGCTGGTGTAGAGTGGGTTGCTCGGTCACAGGGATATATGAAAATGTTAATAACTAAGAAACGAAGCTTCAAACGCAATTTTTTTATTCTTGATTTTCGTCTTGTACCGGCATCCAGAATCACCCCCTAAATTTTCTCCGAAGAGTAACCGAGTACCCTGTATATTTATCTTAAAGTACAATTAAACCATTACAGTTGCACAATTTTCAGAACGAAATGTTCGACTCGGGAAATGATCCTGGAGCAACGGTGATTCGGACTAAACGAATTGGATCCTTGTCCATCGTGAACTCCTTGGATGTTTTACGGCAAAGGGTTCTCCTCGAACTTGCTCGACGCAAAGCGTTGCAAGACCAACGACAGATTGACGCGAACCGACGTATCTTGGAAAGCATTGGCAAGAGATCGCTATCCCTTTACAATGGAGACATATCCAGGGCTGTTGATTCGAGAACAAAAAATGGACTTGAATACATAATCGAACAAGAAAGGAAGAGTCATAATCGAAATGTTACACCAGAAAGAATCGCGGAGAATATGCAGGACTGGCTCCAAACAGATGATTCTGCTTTTCAAGAAAGGCAGGATGACCAGACGCAAAGGGTAATGAAGCAATTGTTTCGATAGTTAAAATAATGGAAAGTAATTTTAATAAATTTTACCTCAGGAATAATTAGTAAAGCAGTTTTCCATTTATTTTCTGCTTTAAAAAGTTAAAACACATTCCTCTCGAAAGCATATTCGTATCTAAATGTTTTTGCAACTGTTTGTTTTTATTTTATTATTATAAGTAAATAATTGTCCTTTGATATGGTTAATACATTAAGTTTACAAATGTACAATTAACATCCTTTTTGTAAAAGTACAGTATAAGATGTCACGGAAATGTTTGAAATCAATTTTCAATTGCGACTTTTATTTGGAAAAATACTTTCACGCCATATTAGCTACATGCAAAATTGCTTAAATATGCATACAAAATCTGTTATATTATTTTTAGAAAGTGCAATTAAATTTGCTTACTTCTAAAAATTTGTATTTCCAGGTACAACCGAACGAACTACGTTTACTGTAATCAACATGAAGAACCGAAGAACAAGACACAATGAACTTTCGCTATTTTACGATTTTTTATCTAACAAGCTAATGAATTGCATATAATTTATTTATTATTCGTCATATTTCTCAGATATGTGTGTGTGTGTGTGTTTGTGTGCACACGCGTGCGTGTGTGTGTGCAGACATCTATTGCATTTATAGATATTTTTAATGTAAACAATTTCCCAATTTAGTTATCTTTTTTACTCGTCTTAATCCTCTCTTTATCGTCACGTCGTTGTCTTTGGAATTTTTTTCCATTAAAGCAATTTCCTTAAACGAATGTCCTCCCTTTAACATTGTGACAATGTTGACTTAACACTCTCCAACTGATAATTCTTATTTGGTAGACATATCGAACTGAAGAAGAAAAGACAACTGGATTAACAGTGGAAAAGACAACTACCAGAGTTTGTAAATACTGAACGAAGAGATTATAAAGTCTCAATACGTTCAGAAGAATCCTTTTCATCTGACTCATAGCTTAGAAACTAAACAATCTGAAGATAAATAATTTTTCAATTAACAAAACAATTCCATTCAGTTTGGCACTTATTAATTAAATAATTTATATACAAAAATCAATTTTATCGCATCGTCATATTTTACTGCAATAATTGCAAATCTCTTTATCTATAATTTAAATTACATTCTATGAAATGTAAGCAAATGGTTGGATATTTTTATGCGGTAGTGTATGGATGGACGGATGGATGGATGTATATACTTATGTATGTACGTACACACGCGCACATGGACACATAGGCACACATATTAGCTATAAATTTATCTAATCTATACATTTTATGGCGTGTAAAATCCATAATTTAATACAATGTTTCATTCATGATTAATATGCAAATTGTTCATGTATCAAGTATAAAATATATATTAGTATGCGCGCATGAAATTGCCAGTAGTACAGAAACTTTCAGAAACGAACGGTATCAGTATTATTTTTTTAAGTTTCAATCGTGTAAATCCTAACTAGTTTAATTTTTTAGCATTTAGAAAGGGAAGAAAATAAAAACAGTACTCGAAAAGTAACAGGAACATCGTTATCAAAAATGTTACGTATAAGAAAACCTAGTATCAAATTTCAAAACGCACATTTAACTCTTTTCTATTTCTTCCTTTTCAATAGTACAATACTATGAAACAAAACAGTATTATATATTGTGATCTCTTGCAGTCTGCTGCCGAATCGGTAATCTCCATAGACAGCATATCACATCTAATTTGGATATAATTTATTGTAGTTGATAAATAAAATCAACTGCATAAATTGTGAAAATATGAAATAGTCTAAAATTGTATTTATCTATTGTACAGTAATGTTTCTTGAACTGATGTGTATTCACTTAATATTTTGCTAATCATTTCAAGAGCCAAATTTAGATGTTCTTTACAAATATACATTCAAATGGTTGTAAATTTAATGTAATGTAATTATTTAAATATATAAATCAAATGCTTTGTTCACAATAAATTTCACTCAAAAAGAGTAAATGTAGTTAAGAATAAATGTTTCAAAGAAATATCTTGAACTTTTTCATGTAAATAATCTTTTTTCTTATTTTTATTTATGTTACTACCTTTTTAATCGAGTAATTGTGCTTTTAGGTGTTTGTAATATGCACAAAGCAAAACATGAGATAATTAAATTCACTATATTCCAATATTAACATGGAAATACTGTATGATCACTGGATCCATTTGTACATATTAGAAATTAATATATATTTGTATTTAAAGCGATTTCTTTCAAGTTTTATTTATGTTCATGAAAAATGTACAACTGTGGCTTATTTTCTAAATATGCAAATTTTAATACTTAAATATTTTTATGCAATATTAAATCTGTGAAGGACATAAACATTTTCAAGGGTAATAAAATTATAGAAAATTTATTATAAAAAAATATGCATTTTAGTAAAGATAATAATTTCTCTTTGTATTTACTTTATCTTAATTTATCTCATTTTTCCATTATTCTTCGACCTACAAGATAATTCGAAACAAATGTATAAAATCTGACAGATTATTCAAAATATCATTCTAATTAAGAAGTCTTATACAAACATAGATCCTTTCCTCAATACTTATGTAGTTACAATATTTTATTAAATAATATTTGAAATCACTGCTGTCACAATAGAATCACAAGCTTGATGTAAAAGTATCTCTCAAAAATTAAAAGAAAACAAAAAACCATGAAATATCGTTTACTTAGAGTTCAATTTTATGCACGTATTGTGTCAATGATATATTATTATATCAATTATATATACGATCCAATGCAGTATTTACATAAACTTTATTCAATGCGCTATATTTTAACATAGTTATTCATAGATATTTATTTTAATATTGTATGCTATAATATGTTTCAAATGTTCTCATAAATAGTAATAAAAGGAATGTTAGTGAACATTTACTGTATATAAAGCAGAATCATTTATCAATTCACTTCATTCCACTTTCAGTTCTGAACAACTTGTATATTCTCTTATTTTTTTTTTTTTTAAGGTCATTGTATATAACGATGTAAGTATAGAAAATAGGATTTATATTTGTATAAAACTTTTTCTTTCAAATGACTTTCGAAACAATCTATCACAGTTTTTTTCACTCGTTTCGAATCACATTATATACATAGAACACTCATAAATTTACTGTAAGAATACAGTGAAAAATTTACAATGTAGTAATGAAATTAAGTACATGGAAATTAGAAATTAAATACAACTATGCATTATTATTACTATTATTGTTTATATGTTGCATTATATAACTTATTACTAAAAAAAATGTATATAAACTCTAAAATATTATACATATATAACATAGGGGTATCTTATTTATTTTAAAAACTTGTACAATACTGTTTGTTTATTTACATTTCAAGTTTTCTTTTTATGATTCAATTGCAAAATGCATAATTAAAGTGAAATAAATAGCGTTCAAAATGAATTTGTCACACATAATTATATTTCCGTGATCTTTTAATATATAATAGTGTGTAGCAAAAATAAATCGTGCAATTGTATTATTCTTTAAAAAAGTTTATTTTATTTCTTATTACTATCGATGTTTATATAATACTTAGTATTATCGTTAAAATTATACGTATCCCATCCACTTGTAGTGAATGATGATTGTATTTTATTTTTCTCTGGAAATATAATGTTTGTCAAACTGTCTCAAACTGTACAGAGTGTCATTATTGGAAATATTAATGTACAATACTTTTTATAAACATTTTCAACAGAATGCGGAAAACATAATTAAAGAAAAGCCACATTTTTATTCTCTATTTATGTTTAAAATTTTTTAATTCGTAAACTATCGAACCATTTTCGTTCTATACATAGGTAATATTCTATGAAATTATATTCAGCAAACACAAATAGTTCAAATGATTATATAACGTGGCTGATATTCCGAGAAATGAAGAATTAAATGGAAGTAAAACAAAGGTGCTGAAGGTAACTTAAAATCGTAGTAAGTCCTGAAAATTAAGTATACTCTACTATAGGATTGTGATCACATTTTACGAAGGTCAAGAACAAATACACTGCCATCAGATGCAGAAGCACCAACTTTATCTCCTCGACTGTTCCAACACACTTCGAAAATTCCTCCAGTACCTTGGTAACTGTGCACCAACTGACCACTCTGTAGAATTAAATATAAAATAAAACACATGTAAAGTTGTTTTAAATATAGAAAACAAAAAGAGAATAACCGTCTTACCTGAGTGGACCAAATATGAACACATTTGTCAAAACTTCCACTAGCTAGGAATTTACCATCTGGGCTAAATGCTACGCTGTATACTGGTTCTGTGTGTTTTGTAAGTGTGTGTATGCATGCACCCCTTTCTACGTCCCATAATCTTACAGTAGAATCAAAAGATGCACTAGCTAATGTCAAATTCATATTTGGATTATGAGTTCCAGGTCCAGTTGGTGACCATTTAATGGTATATATTTCTTTGCTGTGAGCTTGGAGATCATGTACCCATGTATCTTGCTTCATAGACCAAATTTTAAGACTCATATCATCTGAACAACTAGCCAGTAAATTGCCTTGAGGATCCCATTTAATCGCATTAACTTCATTCTATAATAAAAACAGAAGAAAGAATAGATGGACTGCTTATATAAATAAATATTCATTAAATAGAAAAATGTAAATATTTTTATATACATACCGTGTGACCTTGGAAGCTCTTAATTGGTTTATCAACATTAAGTTTGCATACATGAATGCATTGGTCAGTGGAACAACTAGCAAATGATGTGTTAGTTTGCCAATCAACATCTAATGCAGGTGCACAATGAAAACTGAATTGTTGAGTACATTGCCCACTTTCAGCATCCCATATAATTGTTGTTTTATCCACTCCAGCACTTAATATGTAGTTTCCCCGTTTGTTCCATTTTAATGCAAAAATCGGACCTTTGTGTTGACCTAATGTAGAAGCTAATTTGCCATCTGTTTTCCAGATTCGTGCATAACCATCATAACTTCCTGTTGCTAGTAAGGTACCATCACACTAAATTAAACAAACAAATTTGATTAAATTTTTTATGAAATTTTATAAATAAAACATCGTAAATTATTAAATAGCCATTGTACCTTCCAATCTAATGAAGTAACATCTTTATTACTTGGTACTTCAGTACCACCCTTTTGTATGCAATGACGAAGGACAAGCTGATTTGGAGCTTGAGAACTACCAGACATATCCCAAATACGAGCTGTACTGTCTCCTGAACCAGATGCTAAAAGGTCAGTTGTCGGATTCCACGCACATATAAAAACTTCTGATTCATGACCACGTAATATTGTAGCTTTAGTGTCTGGGATTTCAACGGTGCTAGTATTGGTTCCTCTGCCTGAACTTTGTTGTTGTTCATCTACTTCCATTTCTGCCCTATCTCCTCCCCTCTCATTTGTGCCAACACCTTCATTGGAGGTAACAACTGAAAACGGATTAATAAATTAATAACAATTATTAAGTTAAATGCTTTTTTTCCCTTTTATAATTATAATATGCAACCTGGTATGAAGATAACAATTAGTATTAGAAATTTACTTTTGAAAAAAAATTTTTTGATTTAACAACACTGTTTCTCTTTTCTGTTCTTTTTTGAATGGCCTTTTATACCTGTGTTGCTCATTTTTTAACAATGTTACTGTTTTAACCCCAATTGCCCTTTTTTTCTAGATCACACATATTAATAATGTTGTTTGCTCCTAGTTTACAGGCATGTTATAAATTTAATATTGAGCTTTATTTTGCTATATCAGTATAAATTTTAACATTATGAAAACAAATTTTTGAATAAATTAATAAGATTTAAAAAAATGTACTATACTTTAGCATAACTGTTATA